TCTGCCCCTCCCCCTCACCTGCCCAGGGGCACGGCCAGGTAGAACCCCTCCACTTTCCCCTCCCCCTCACCTGCCCAGGGGCACGGCCAGGTAGAACGCCCCCAGGGCGCGGCTGCGGGCGGGGCCCCGGTACAGGTCGGCCACCAGGGTGGGGGCCAGGGTGGAGTAGGCGGCCTCGCCCACCCCCACCAGCGCCCGGCCGGCCAGCAGCACCCCGAAGTGCTGGGGGAGGGGCGGGGTCAGTCACCCCTCCCCCACCCTGCCCTGCCCCTCCCCCACCCCCCTCCGGGGTCACTGACCCCTCCCCCATCCCCCCAGGTGTGTTCTGGGGGGTCCCCAGGTGTGCCCAGGTGTATTTTGGGTGCCCCAGGTGTGCCCAGGTGTATTTTGGGCGCCCCCAGGTGCATTTTGGGCACCCCCAGGTGTATTTTGGGCGCCCCCAGGTGTATTTTGGGTGCCCCCAGGTGTGCCCAGGTGCATTTTGGGCACCCCCAGGTGTATTTTGGGTGCCCCCAGGTGTATTTTGGGCGCCCCCAGGTGTATTTTGGGTGCCCCCAGGTGCATTTTTGGGGTGCCCAGGTGGGTTTCGGGTGCCCCCAGGTGTATTTCGGGGTGTCCAGGTGTGTTTTGGGGTACCCAGGTGTATCCCAGGTGTATCTCGGGTATCCCCAGGTGCGTTTTGGGGGTGCCCAGGTGTGCCCAGGTGTATCCCAGGTGTGCCCATGTACACTTTTGAGGTCCCCAGGTCCATTTTGGCGATGCCCAGGTGATTCTTGGGTATCCCCAGGTGATTTTTGGGGTCCCCAGGTGATTTTCGGGGCGCCCAGGTGATTTTTGGGCGTATTTTGGGTGTCCCCAGGCGATTTTTGGGTGCCCCCTGGTGATTTTTGGGTGTATTTTGGGTTGCCCAGGTGATTTTTGGGGCGCCCAGGTGATTTTTGGGGTGCCCAGGTGATTTTGGGGTACCTGGGGGGGCACGAAGCTGGTGGCCAGCGTCACCCCCGACCACAGCCCCAGCCCCAGCGCCAGGAGCCGCTTGCGGCTGTGCCGGTCCCCGAGGAAGCCGAAGAGCGGAGCCAGCACCAGGTAACTGCTGATGAACACTGGGCAGGTGAGAAAAACCAAAATTAGCCAAAAATCCAAAAATAAACCCAAAAAACCCACCCCAGAATAAGCAAGAACCCAAAAAAACCACCCAAAATAACCAAAACCCACCAAAAAACCACCCAAAAATAATAAAAATCGACCCAAAAATGTACACTAAACTGCTGATAAACACTGGGAAGGTGAGAAAACCAAAATTAGCCAAAAATCCAAAAATATACCCAAAAAAAACCACCTCAAAATAAGCCAAAACCAGCCCAAAAAAACCACCCCCAAATAAGCCAAAACCCCCCCCCAAAACCACCCAAAAATGATAAAAATTAACCCAAAAATGGGCACAAACCCGGAACAGGTGAGGCAGGTGAGCAAAGAACCCCAAAAACCCCAAAAAAATTCTAAAACGAATCCCAAAAACCCTAAAAACCACCCAAAATAGTGATGAAAACCCTAAAAATCCCAACAATATTCCAAAAAGGCCCTGGAAAAGTAAAAAAAAAAAAAAAA